TTGTTTGTTCTTGAACTGTGTATAAATAGAATAACACTGTATATTTTCTTTTCTGTCTTGTATTTTCTTTCAACACAGTTCATGAGACTCAGCTATGAATTACTGCATGTGGCTGCAGGTCTGTGACTGCCTTTGCTGCACTGCATTGCATTTCATTACTTTAGCACAGTTCACTTATTCTTTTTACTGTTGGTGGACAGTTGGGTCATTTCCAGTTTTGGCCATTGTAAATAGCATTGGACATCTTATAACTGAGCCACCATTGACTCCCAAGAGAGGAATGGAATTGTTGGATAGCAGGGTATGTGTATCTTCAACTCTACCAGTTAATGCCACACCGTCCTCCAAAGAGGTTGGACCAAATCACCCTCCCATCAGCTGCCTCCCTCTAGGGAGTACAGACACTTTGTGTCTTGTCAGTCAGCACTATTTCCACCTCCAAAGCCTGAACCACATGAGTTTGCTGCATGTTCCTCCAGCACCTTGAAGAGCCAGATGAGGTGCATGGGAGCCATCATCCCTTCTGCTTTTTATCTTCCATTAACATAATTCTCAAGTCTTAAAGATTCAGTGAGAAAACTGTCAATTTTCTAAGAATACCCCTTGAGATAATGTGATGTCTTTTATTTAGAGTGCTGTGCTTGGCTCACGGGTCAGTCAGATGTGTGAATGTCCTGACAACCCTTTCCCCTTCCCTGTCCCCTAAGGATGGGAGCTGAGGAAAGAAGCCGATCAGACAGGACAAGGAATCAGGGAAATGATAACTGCCCCTTTCTCCTTTGGGAAATCAGAGGACTTAAAGGTCAGGGTATTAGTTCACAGGAAGCTGATGCTTGTGTCTTTCTTGGCAGGGTTTTAGGAAAACTGGGCGGAAAGGGCCCACTCCAATGGCCAGCATGCCGAAACCCCATCACCTGGAGGACCATGCACTAGAGGCATTTCTGAAGCATGATGTAGCACTACATTGAAAAGGCACAAATAAACCCCAAACCCTAGCACACATTTATCCAGTTTTTGAAGCAGATTAATAGAATAACCAATAAAACATGTATAAAAGCTTTAATTAAATCTGATGAAATAAAACTTCATGTTTTATTTATGGACACTCCCAACATGTAAAGGATTCAGGGACACATTCATTTTTACTGCCATTTCGTCCTCATATCTATAATTAAATCCAGGCTGCAGCTCTGGCCCAAAGCGATGCGTCATTTTAAAACTGGCCTTGGACACTCCCTCCCCCACCCCCATCTGCTTTTAATTATAATTACCAATCCAATATGACTGAGGCGGATGGTAAAACTAAACAAAATAATAAAACAAACAAACAAAAAATGGTTGTTGCCATCGTGTTTTAAAACGAAATGCTAAAGGAGGATTTCAGGCAGGTGGGCGCATCCTCTATTTCCAGTTTTATTATGTACCAAGTGCACAATCCCTTCATTTTACTTTCGACATAAAAAAAGAACTTCATGAAACAAGACAAAATAACTTATGATTATATGAAACATAACTGTGACAAATCACAAAACTATACATATTAATAGAAAAAAGTGTACCTAATTCTTTAAAAGATTTATGACAATAAGCACCAGATGTGCCCCTAGAGTAAAATCAGCCCCATATCCAGTATGATATATGCAGTTCACTTCTCTACGTGAGTGTATATAACTATGTACAAGAGTCTGTGTGATTTATGGGAAACAGATTTCCACTTTTTCCCCCCAAAGTGCTTTATGTCAGCAACATTACACAGGATGCTCTGCTGTCTGTACAAAATAAATCTCTTCTTTCCTACACTCGCCATCTCTCCAATGAGTGTTTTTTTTTCTTTACTCATTGCAAAAAAAAAAAAAAAAAAAAATGTAACCACAGAAATTCCACACCACCAACAAAAAGTGCCATTAAAAATGCTGCTATAAAATGACATGGTCAAAACAGTCAAATAAAATACCAAATAATTAAATTGGACATTTACAATCACTATTCCCAATACTTCAAGGCAACTGGGAAGCAAGGTTCTTGGATAGGGGGTTGAACACTTACCTCTGTTCTAGTTTGCTAATGTGCTTGACAGCTGCTAATTTTAAAACAACAGAACACCACCATAGCTCTGTTTTATCAGTGGAAACTTTGCTGTGATTGACTGAAGACCTTTTGTTCATTTTGGAATCACCTAAATAATTTGGGGTAGACATGGGTAATGGGAGATACCCCACAGGACTAGTAAATATTTAAATAATATTTAGCAGCTGATCAGAGGCTAAATTACAACTTACATTTTGATGCAGTCCCTTTAGGGAATTAAGACAATGCAGCAAATGAAATGTCTCTAGGCATACTGATTTTTTTTTTTTAATGTAATAGGATAATTGGCTTTGCGCTGTGTGTATTTTCACAAGCACCAGTCTTTTAAAGAAGGGGAATGACAATCTCTCTTCAGATGTTTACGAAAATGGTTACATATCAAGAGTAAAAAGACCAGGAAATGGAAGGAAATGAGTTGTTGAAGTTTCTACTTTTACTGCTACAAACATAATGATGAAAGCATATATAAATCTTGTGCAGTGTGAAAGCAAGCAAGGAACAAATTTTAAGGTCAGGCGAGATTCTGGAATCTCAGGGCAGCGTGTGTTGTCTCCAATGAACCTGGAGGTGTCATGTCCTGGGGCCCTAAGCTCAAACCTGCAGCTGAGGGGAAACATGGAAGGGGAGTGAGGGGCACCCAGCCTCGCAGGCTGCACTGGGCCTGTTTCCTCTCCCAATTCCTCCTGGTTCCCTCGGGCCTCAGAGAGGCCAACAGGGAGACTACAGATGTGCAGGAGGATCTCCTCCAGCCAAAGTTTCTGAGGTTCAGCTTCTGGCTTTGTCCTCCTAACCTGTTTTCACCTGAAATTATAGCAAAAGCCACAGGCAGGCAGACAACGGCAGCTGCAGTAACAACCTTGCCTTTCCATTTTTTTTCCTCCTCATCACACAAATGAAATGTGTTTTGAGTTCCCTGTAGAGGCTCCAGGATTTAGAATGAACAGATTGTCTCTCTAAGATACCAGAGCTTTCCCTTCTCTGCAGGGTGTGACAAAGGACATGGTCCCTGTTTAGGCCAAGTGACACAACCCACAAAGTCTGCCAGAGGGGTGGGACTCTGTGTGCCGTCTGAGAACTCATGTGGAAAGAAAGCCTGACGTGAGTTCTTTTGTAAAGCAGAGCAGATTTTTGTACAGTGAATGACTTGTCTCTTTTGCAGACACGGATGTCTGCATGATGGCTCTTCTCAGATCAGAGCCCACTGGCCAGAGAAACTAGACTGACTGAGTGCACTGTCAGAACGGACCCTGCACTTTGTTCTTTATTCGGCTGGTTCTACTTCGTGTCAGAATGAAGTCCGGAATCAGGCAGAACACTACCGACCATGCGGCCAGACTGGAAGGACATGTCTGTCAGGATAAAAACTGTCACCGGATCCCAAGTCTGACACCAAGCTGTTAAATTGTCTTGTTGAAGATTATAATTATCCCAGTTTGACAAATAGCATTGTTTCATTTCCCCTCAGATAACATTTTTAAAGAGAGAGAAAAGAAATCGTGAGAGGCGAGAGTACTGGAATGTCAGAATCCACCAGGGGTTTTGGGGTTTTGGCAATTTTTATAGCCTATGTCACAGGACTCTGGATCTTTTTAACAACTTGGTAAAGGCGTCACAGAAAATGGCATCCTATTCAGGTTTAAGATCAAATGGCCGAGAGCTCTGGGTAAATTCCAGGCCCTCAAAACAGAGTTTCAGACAGAAAGGTTGCCTCCTTCTGGCCACCTTTCCAGAACTGTCCCCTCCACCTGCCTTTGGCCAGACCTTGCTCAGAGGTGGTGAGCAGGCAATGGCGGGTGGTGGGCATGTCTAAACCATAGTCAAGAAGAGGGTGAGAGCGATGCAAAAAGAGGGAGAGAAGGAAGGCAAGGGAGCAACAGACAGACAGGTGAGGGGAGATCCTAACAGAGGGAGCAGAGGCTGTGCAAAGTAGCCAGACATCAGGCATCTCTAGTTTGGTTTTCTGAGAACCCAGGAGCACACGTCCGTGTGTCCCTGCTCTCACAGCTTCCAGCAGGTCCCTGGGCAGAGCACCAGAGCGGAGGCCATGGGTGAGCCAGTCAAGTGACCTTTTCCTTTGAAAAATGTCTTCGAGGTGGAGCCGCTGAAGAGTCAACCCACGAGGGTCTCTGTGGCAGCACTGGGAAGAGGGTGGCTTACCCCATGTCCCTCAGGTAGCCTTTGCCAATGCAACACTAACATTCCGGGGGCTCACAGGTGCTGCAGGGTGCGGGCAAGCAGAGCCGCAGCGGAGGCAAGATGTACATAGCTGGGAGCATTAAAATAATTATTTCCATCCAAAGAACAGACCTCTAAACATTTTTTTCCTTTAAAAAGTAGACGTAAGTAACAAGTCTTTAAAATCAAAGAACTAAGATAGGTTTCATGAATATAAAACAAGCTGTAGTGCTTCTCAAGGGCCTGCGCTTGACAGAACCTTCTCATTTTGCTTTTGGAGAAACACTGAAAGCAAATGGTTAGCGTGGGAGTATCTAAGAGGAGAGAGGCAGCCAGCTCACTGGATGCCAGGCCGGCACTGGGAAACCTGGGGGCCTCCAAGAGCTGAGCCCATGCTGTGCTTTGGAAGTGGGTTCCCCTTGCTGTGCCTGGCTCTTGGGTGGGACAGTTCACTGTGCTTCTGGCAATTTGGGTCGCCCTTCCTTGTTTGGAGTTTCAGCAAATCTCCAAATTACACTTTCACGTGCACATCATCTCACTGGTGTCCTTTGAAGGTCGGCAGCCAGGAAGTAACAGGTACCCGGTAGAGGGAGACTCTGAATTCCCTTTGAAAAGAGTCCTGCTGGTCACCGGCAAACCCAGGGAGAAAAAGGAGCAGCTGCAAACACACCTACAAAGCCCAGCTCTGACCATTCAGCCCTGCCCTCCAAAGACACACCTGGAACTTGGCAGGTTCCGCTGATTCGCTTGACATCCTTTTTCTTACAGTCTGTGAAAGTATAAGAAGAAAAGGTGGCAAGGAACAAAAAGATTCTGGATGCCAGTGGTAGTGGAGGCCAGGGGAGCTTTTAGCCTTCAGTATAGACAGAGGAGAGCTGGCTAGGACAGCGATCCACAGCGCTGATCTGCAAGAACGTGGTGTCTTCAGGTCCACTGCGAAGAGACTCCCCCAAAAGGCTTGAGGAACCCGAAGGTAGATCACACACTGGAAGAGAAAGAGCGCACAAGTCAACTGCTACCTTGTCGCAGACGCCGGGCACGCAGGGAGCAAATGCTGGCTGGGGCTGAGGAGGAAACCGTGCCGGGCCAGGCCCTTCAGTGGGTCTCCCTGTCCTCGGGCTCCTTAGGTGGGGGAAGAGGCTGATGTGCAGGCAGGTGGCTAAAACAGGACTTGGCACAAGAGATGGGCTGAGTAGCAATGAAAGTTCTGTAGGGAAGAGTGAGGGCGGCCTCAAAAAGGAGGTGATATTACGGTTGAGCCATAAAAGAGGATGGGATTCTCACAGACGGAGAGATAAAGAAAGAACATTCCAGGAGGAGGAAAGAGGGAGCGAAGACAGAGAGGGGGCACGTGGGGCCAAGTGTGCTGGCAAAGCTCAGGTACAGAGCATGTAGGGAGACATGTGAGGAGGGCACATGAGACGTGAGCGCAGGTCCGGAGAGTTCCATCAGGCTCAACTCCTGGGGGCTTCGAATGCCTTGCTGAGGACAGTCGACTTTATTCTCTGGGAAACTACAAACTACTGAAGGTAGCTGAACAGGAAAGTACCTTATTTTATCCTTCATTTTTGGAAGGCAATGGTTACGGTAGCTCGGAGGGCAGAATGGTAAAGATAAGGAGCTGACTCAAGGAACTTGTTGGAAGGCTGTTGCCTAAGTCTGGGAGAGACATGATGGCACCTGAACGAGGGTGGTGGAAGTGGGGCTGGAGAAGGGCTGGAGAGGAAGATAAGAGGAGAGACATTTCACGGGCGGACCGAATAGGATTTGATGTGGTCACGTGCTGGGTCAAGTCTAGTCCAGGCTGGTCACGAGAAACCCACCTGATCTCACCTGCTTGTCTGCCCGAATGTCTAAGTCACAGACACCAACACACCTGTAATGCCCGAGTGAGCTGAGAAGGCTCTGTGGAAAACGTCAAAGCCAGCCTGGCCCATAGACGTGGGGACCAGGCAGTCCTCGAAGGAAGGCACCACACTGCAGGAGCTGCTAGGCGGCATGGTTCTCTGAGAGTCAGGGTAATGTGGGGGGCAGAATGTCTGCAGCTGCCCATAAAATCCTGAAATGCAAGCATGGCATTGAGCTACTGCAGGGCACAAGTTCAGAAGATCATTTCAACCTGGCTAGACCCTCACTCAGCCTGGCTTCATATGACAAAATACCTTTAACCCTTAAGCCCACCTACAAAACCCTCTGACCAAGCATCCATAATGTACTACCTGAGCAGAAGCTATTCTACCTCCAGGGGCTTTTTATTTCTTGCTCTAGTACCTGAAGCGGAAGGGCTTCACACCTTCCCTAGACTCTCCAAAGAGCCCTGGACACTGAAGGCCTGTCCTTCAGGGGACATTCCTACCCCATGCCCTCTCACAAGGTTTTAAGTGCATCTTCCTTAACGTCTTTTATTCTATAGTCTGTTTTTCACATTTCGTAAAAACCGGAATAAAGCTCTTAACAATGCTCACCTTAAAAAATGCAACATAGATCTATCCATCTGCACTTCCAACAGATACATTCATACACATTTATATTTTTTCTTCCTCATTATTTTGAATAGGTACATAGTATCTCATAGTCAGATATGCAACCATTTACTTAACTATTATTATTGCTGATCTTTGCAGTAAATAGAAAAACTGGAAGTGAATAAACAATATAGTGAAGAAATATGTGGAAAGATTTCTTAATATTTGAAAATAATCAACATTTTGCTAATCTTGTTTCATTTATCTTTTCAATTTTTTTCTTACTCAGTGGAGTTTTTCCCTTGGGGTCCTATGTGGTCCTTTTCTATGATTCTCCACACCTTCCATGATACCTTACCATTTCCCTCTTCCTCCTTGTCTCATAATAAATGTAAGTAAAAGATTACTTTCTGGAGTATACGGTTTTAAAAATATAATGAAATCTTCATTCAATACCTTATTTCATGGTACCTGTTTCCTCAACTCTAACATGTGAAAGTCACTGTCTATTTCACTGGGTGATTATGCAAGATTAAGCAAGTCACTGGATAAGGAAATCCATATATAACATCTGAAAGTGCTTTATGAATGTCAGTTATTGATATCATGACTCTGTTTCTGGTGAAAAAAACAAGGGATTAGTAGAGGAAGTGCCCCCAGGGTTCCTTCCACAAACATTACACGATGGTGAATACAGAACTAATTCATGGACTTTGGAGCCCTAGTCCTGTGTGCTTTCCTCCTCTAGAACTGCTGCTTCTTACGGAGTCACCTATCAACAGGTAGGGAAGGTGCTATTCAGGTTGGGTTCTTTTTAGCTCTCTGTAAGTACAGCTGAGGCACACTAACACATCCAACCTATTATGCTCACACCCTTCTCATTTCTGATTAGTACTCTCAAGGCAGACTACCCTTGGCCAGGAGGCCTGCTCTACGGTCGCTAGGAATATCACCAAAGAATGTGTGCTGAACTGCTCACAAAGCCACAGACCAGCCCTCTAGGAGCTTATGATACAAGACAGAAGGATGGATACAGATTTATGAACAGGGTACACTCACAGTAGAAAACAAAATAATAGCCTTTGTAAGTAACCAGTAGTATACTTCATAAAGAATCAAGAGAAAAACCCATATAAGGTTTGGGAGGAAGATTAAATTCATGTTAGCAGTATAGACTAGGAAAAAACATAAGTAAATTCCATGTCAAGGCAGGAGAAGAAAGAATGGAAAACTACTGGCTCTTCTCTTTTTGATGCCCTAAGTCTTCTGCATGGACTCAGTAGGCAGACAGGCAAAGGACCCAAACAGATCATTCAAATGCGCATATAGCTTATCAACCAATATGGACAACTGGCAATTCTCTAGCCATTAAAGCAATAAAAATCAAGACAATGATAAAATACCATATTCTACCTATCACATTAGCAAAGATTTCTGAAAGTCATTCTTGGTGCTGGACTGAGACTGGTGACAAAGGCACCTGTGCAGAGTGTGCAGACATTGCAAAGGAGTATAAGCCTCTGTAAATCACTTGACAACCTGCATCTAGAACCTAAAAGTGTTCATACTTCTGGACAGGGGAATTTTTCTTCCAAGAATGTATCCTAAAAGTGTATTCTGAAAAACAGAAGAAATTCTGCAAGAGGTAGTCATCACAGTGCTAGCTGTCATAACAGAAAACTGAGGAGGAAAAATGGCCACCCATAAGAGAACAGTTGGGAATGTTAAAGTAGCCATGAAAACAGTATTTACAAGGAGTTAACATCGTGGAAAGACCATTACAAGGTTCAGTTGGAAAATAAAGCAAGATACAAAACTGAATAGGGAGACTGGGTTCAGTTATGTGGAAGACTATGTATAGGACAGATTGCAAAGCAACATATTTATAGTTGTCTTTGGGGTTTTTTTGGCTTTATGTTTTTCTGAATTTTAGTATCAGTGAAGGACAAGTACTTTGGAGCCAGACTTCCTGGGTTCAAATCCTAGCTCAACTACTTACCAACTGTGTAGTCTTGGAGAATTATTTAGCCTTGCCGTATTTCAGCTTTCTAATTTGTAAAACGGCATTAAAAGTAGTACCTAGGGGCTTCCCTGGTGGCGCAGTGGTTGAGAATCCGCCTGCCAATGCAGGGGACACGGGTTCAAGCCCTGGTCTGGGAAGATCCCACATGCCGCAGAGCAACTAAGCGCGTGCGCTACAGCTGCTGAGCCTGCGCTCTAGAGCCCGTGAGCCACAACTACTGAAGCCTGCTAGCCTAGAGCCTATGCTCTGCAGCAAGAGAGGCCACTGCAATGAGAAGCCCGCACAGAGCAACAAAGACCCAATGCAGCCAAAAATAAATAAAATAAATTAAAAAAAAAAGGAACATGATCAAAGAAGGTTTATTCCAGGACAAAGAATGGTTAAAAAAAAAAAAAAAAGAAGTACCTATACCTTAGTGAGTTATTATGAAGATTAAATTGAGTTAATATTTACATATTATACAATATAATCTGAGAATATAATTAATATTTATATAATATATTTTAATAACAATTTATATGTTTGCTAAATAAGAAAAATTAAAAAGTAAAATTACATCACAATAATGTACCTCTCAAAAGTAAAATGTTTATTAAGAGAAATAAAATTTTCAAAAGGGCAACAAGTAAGTCCTTCAAAAATAACCAAATGTAAGAATGGACAAGGCAGTGGGCGTGTAGCTCACTTCCAGTTCCCAGGTGGAATCCTCTGGGACATTCTTGGCCCTCGGGACCTGGGCTATATACCTCTTTCCCATATTGGTTCCTAGATCCTTCACTAATTGACACACATTCTGATTTCTTCACTCGCCCCCACGCAGGCTCAAAACAGCAACAAACTTGAGTGGGCTGAAAGACCTGGGATGTGCAGTTTCATTTGGGAGGTTCCTTGGACTGATCTTGACTTTGGGTACCCAGTGGGCGGGCACATGTAATCACGGCATCGCCATCAGGAGGAAAACATTACCAGGAACCATCACAGTTGGTTTATTAGAATGTAATGTCGCCCCACTGAACAAAATAGACAATATTTGCTATTTATATCCCTATGCTGGCTCTGTTCATATTTGTCACTCATATATACCCTGATGGCATTCCTCAGTGTAATATTAACCTTCCAGGAAGACAGACTCCCACAACTCCCCACATAGGGACATTGATCATTCAGGTATGTCAGGGACAGTGACAGAGATTTCCACTGGCCTTTTGTGAAAACCAATTAATTCTCTCTTTCCTGTCTTCTCCCTGCTTTGAAGACATGGCAGGAATTTCACATGGCTTCAATCTACATTTGAGTGCTGTAAAGGGTTAAGAGTACAAAAGGTTGGTAATGCAGTGAAATACACCCGGTGAAGTTAAATAGTAAACCCAACATCCTGAGCTCCATCTCCCAGTTTCCCCTGTCCATCTGGGTCTGAGTGAGAGGGCCGAGTGAACTGTAGTTCCTGCCTGTGGCTTTCTTGGCTGACACGAGAAACAGTCAAAACCAGAATGGCCCCACAAGCATGTTTTACCACTCTCACAGCCAACTCAGGGAAAGAAAATCCTCTTTATTAAATCCCTCCCTTCAAGAAGCCAGTTATTAGAGATGCCAAATACACTGGTGTGGATGACTGTGGTCACTCAAATCAAAGAGCTTTAACATAGCCTCTTCCCACTGCTATTTCCATAAAACTAACATAATTTTAAAAGATTCCATTAGGATCTTGCCACACACAAAAACCCAGAGAAAGCCTAATTCATTTTCTGATGAATGGCTCCTGTATTCCAGCTGCTGAATTTCATGTAGTAAGTTTGGAAGGAACACTACCTCGAGGACCCAAAGCAAAATGCAGCAAGATGTTAACACATTTCGTGGGCATAAAACATAAGAGTGATGGCAAGGTCAGCCAATCTGTCAGTCAGTCAGTCAGTCAGTCAATGATAGTTACTGAGTACTGGTCAAGGTGCTTTTGGAGAGACCAGAGAAGTAGAATATGGTAACACCTTGTCCTTGAGGATTGATAATGCAGTTGGAACAAGAACACATACACTTATAATAGCAGAAGAATGCACACATAGGTTTATGTTGGTAATAAATATTAGTCAGCGCATTTAGTTAGAAAAATCACCCCTCCCCCATTTTAGAAGTTATTTTACCTCCAAGAATGGAGGAGGAGCAGAGGAACTTGCAGATAAACTGACTTTACTCAAGTTGTAGCTCCTGAAGGTCAAGGAGAATCATTCCTCCTCTTGTCAATTTCGGGAAGTATTTTTCCCTTCTAAAAACAAACTTGTTTTTCTAATTATTAAAATATTTTGAATTAATTATACCAACTAGAAAACGTAGAATAGCATATGCAAAGAAAAGAAAAATTATCTTTATTCCCACAATTCAGACATAGCCAGATATATACACACAAAACTGGAATGTTATACATATTGTTTTGTATCCTGTTTTCTCCCCTAACATTACCTATGAGCTCACATAGTATTAAAAATCATTCTTTTTTAAAAATAAATTTATTTATTTTATTGTTATTATTTTTTTGGTCGCATTGGGTCTTCACTGCTGTGCACGGGCTTTTCTCTG